TATTGAAACGATTTTTTTTAAACATTGAATATTTCCTATCATACTTCGGCACTGCCGGTCTTGAAATTGTATTAACACTAAAATATTCCTTCGTTAAGGTTTTATCGATTACAAATTCATTAGATTTTGTTATTAAGTTTTCTGGATTTTCTTCAATTTTCTTTTTTTTGTGCTTCTTAGAGGATTCTTCTTTTCTCGGAGAAGATTTATTTCTTTTTGTTGATTCTTTATCTTTAATATTTTTATTTTCTGGTTCATTGTTTACTAACAAACTTAATTTTGAAATATCTACTTTAAAACTCGAATTTTTTAACCAGTTTTCATCGTTATTTTCCTCTTTTTCTTGTTNTGCATCATCTATTGAAGTGTATTGAGGTTAGTTTACAGTTTACTATCAAACTTTGACAATAAACATAACCTTAGTCCCAATATAGAAAATTAAAATACAATTAATAAATTTAAAACTATAGAAAGTGTAGAAGGATAATTGTATGGAATAATATAACCTAGAACGACATAACTTAGAACCCCAAGAACGTTTTGTTGCGTCATCTGTTGAGGTGTATTGAGGTTAGTTTACAGTTTACTGTCAAACTTTGACAATAAACATAACCTTAGTCCCAATATAGGAAATTAAAATCAATTAATATATTTAAAACGAATGGTAGAAAGTATATATTCATAATATATTCATAATAAATTAGGCGAAGAAATAATCGAGTACGGTCAATTACTACAAATATTAGAAAAGGTAGTGAATAAAGGTGAAATAAAACAACATAAGACGAAGAAAGAAAAGAATTTTTATCCAATATTTGTAATTAGATTATTTATGAAAGATAAAACATTAATAAGGTATTTCATAGCTAAAAGACATATTCCTTTGACAAAATAGTACATTAAAAAGCTAGTTTCGTAAAACACGCTTGAAATGCACGAATTCAAGTTTAAAAACGCTAAATGAGTGCTTTAAGTCTTATGAAACGTGTTTTTATACTATTTTTTGTAATTCGCGTTTTTATCCTTTTTTTTTTAACATAATAAAATAAATGTTGACAATGTGGGGAAATAGGTATGTAGCAGTTGGTAATACCGCAACACTTGAAAATAAAAATTTGAATTGACAGTTAGAAATTGTCAAAACATAAAATGTATTTCGGTCAAGGACAGTAGAATCTAACAGGACTGCTACATCCATTGTATTTTTGTAGTCCACTACGGGTTGGTTGCCCGCACTCTACGTCACACTATTTGCCACGCCTGGTAACTGTCTGTGTTTTTAGAGGTTATATGATAGACATTAATACGTCTAAAAACATAAAACTTCAAAAATAATATGAATACGTCTAGGATATAACCTCTAAAAATACACAGTAAACGCATAGACCATAACAGCTGGGCGTGGAAAATGGTGTGACGTAATTTGCGGGCAGGTTGTCACAACAATGGATGTAGCAGTCCTGTTAAATTCTACTGTCCTTGATTTCGGTAGTAAAAATGAATTGTTTAATGATTATGAGTGGTTTTTGAATAACTTGTGTTCTATGTATGTACCAGAAAAGAGAGAAGTTGAATACAAAATATTCAATTGACATAAACAATCAGACATAATAGACCCCATAAGTTGAGGAGAATTAAAATGATACCATAACATATTCGATGATTTTCACAACCGAAAGAATGGGAAGTCTCAGACCAATATCGCTTATGTCGTGTATTAGAAAAGTCTTTTAGAAAATTATCACTAATCGATTGGAATGATGGTTAAAGCATAACAAGGTGCTTGAGGAAACATAATTTGTATTTTGAAAGGATAAGGAAGTAATCATAAACATATTCTTAACAACAAATATATAATTAGCTTTTCTTAAAAAACTCTCATTGTCAGTGGGGGCATTGTTCCTAGATTTGAAGGACGCGTATTTATGTCTAAATTGATGGATATTCTGAATGATCATAAAGTACCAAAAACGTTAATGAGTGTAATACATAAATTAACAGCACTTAAAATCTTAGAGTAGAAGAATGACGTTTTGAATATAGACAAAAAATCAAGTACAGAGGATTACCTTAGAGTAGTAGAATAAGTTTAATGTTTATGTTAGAGGACTTAATGAGATATTGAAGAACACCAATGTTACTGCTATATATTATGCAGATGATACAGCAATTTATGCAGGTGCAAAAGAGGAAGAAAGCTGCATATACCAACTTAATGAAGCTACTAAAGTATTGTCAAGATGTTTAGAAGAGAGGCACTTCACATTGGCCACAGAAAAAACTAAGGCCATGATATTCTCTAGAAAAAGGCATATAACCAGATACAATGTATTATGAAGGAGCTATGATTGAATATACAGAATGGACATTAAATTATTGACTTCAACAAAGCGGGGTTGGCTTCAATAACCCAATAACCATACCAACAGCAAAAAGTCAAATGTTGAAATTGGACAGAATATGTTATGGAACATACCGATTAACTTTTGGGAGCATTGAAAACGGTACCTGTTAATACATTCAGAATGTAAATAGGAGAAATACCGTTAACATATAGGGCGGAGGTGCTGTGTACAAAATTTACAAGGTCTTGGAGTAGTCAAGAAGGCATCGCTCTCACCACATCATCCACAATATCAAGCAATGCAGTAACGCAGCTGAAGTTATTATTCATAATATAGTCGTTTAGTTGTTTAAACAAAACCCTCTCCATCACCTTGGACAGAACTGGAAGAATACTAATCGGTCTTAGATCCGTCATCCTCTGTGGATTATTAATTTTGGGGAAGGGATTTATTAATAATAATTATAGAGGTCCTATGTCATACTCCAAGATACCACCCTCCTCAAAATGTTTATTTAGTTCATTCATTCTTTCTGAGGTGTACAGATATTCTATCTATTTTTTATTAAAAAGTCCAGCCTTTTTTAGCGCTACCCACTTATTGTCAACACTTCCTATTTGTAATTCAAGATAAATTCTACGTTCTGTACGAATAGCTTCCGTGACTGTTTTTGTCATAGCTTTGTAAAAAGTCCATTTATGTGGTAATTTAGATGCTCTAAAATCACGATATGCTTTATCTCTAAGTTTTTGCATGGACCTGATAGTATCGGTAATCCATGGTGTCTGGGGTTTTACAAATTTACAGGTCTTTAGTACACTAAATATGGCGCTGCTTAAGAAATTTACTTTAGTGTCGACATCTGGCATGTCAAAAATACAGAAGAATGGAATCTATCATACTGAAAATCACCGAAACAGCGAATGGTCCTGGCTATGGGCGCCATTTATCGATGACAAAAGTATATACATATGTTGGATACCTACAGGGTTATTATGGTATATTGGGAAACGAATAAGGGAAGGATAAATACTAAAATAGAAGTAAATGAGTTGTTTTTGGAGGAGAGAAGATGAATTTGGGAAAGATGGAAATGATGTGTGTGCATTTTTCAAAAAACCCTAATTATTTCTAAAACTATTAATGTTAAGTATAGGGCATATGGAGTATAAAAGATGTAAAATGAGACGCCGAAGACGATTAAGTAATAAAATATGAGGGATGCCGTTCAAAAAAATGAAGTTATGGTACATCCAAATTTTGAATAGTTAACTTGCCATAGTAAAGTTCTAGACAGCCGTTCTCAGCACCAAAATGTCTGCTAGAGCAGATTTTTTTAGAAAAAATCGAATAACTCGAGAACGGCCGAATCAAATTGCAAAAAGTAAAGTTATTCATAAACCTTGAAAATAGACAAATACAAATATATAAAAATACAGTGTGGTAATTAATTATCGTACTCGACGTTATCATGCAAGTATGCAACCAAATACGCAAATTGTGTATTTTAATACCAATACTGTGATATTGGTTGCATACTTGCAATGATGACGTCGGGTACGATAATTAATTAACACACTGTATATAGGTACCTAGAAGGTGTCATGGATGAACCTAGGTTTCATCCATAATCACTCCAATCATTTATTTTTTGTTATATTCATAGTTTATTTGTGAATTTTGTTACTCCAACTAAATCACCACGGGGCAAAGTAATAATAAAATAGCAACAGATAGTAGATAATACTGGAATAATAGCTAATTAACAAAGAGATTGGAGAAGAAGAGCTCATATTCCAACGTGTCGCTTATAATAATATCAATCAATCAATAATCTTAGTCAGTCAGCGGTTATTTAGATTAAATTCTCTATTCTTTTAGGTGTTTCGGGTTGGGTTGAGTTAAAAACATTTAAAAATTAATCAGTTTTATATAGACTTTATTTCGCAATAGACTATTTAAAAATAAGTGATAGGAACCTTATAAATATTATATATACAGGGTGTTTCGGTGACCCGGGGAACAAAATAAATGTAACCACATGTACTAGAGTGAAAATGATGCCGATTAATCTAAAAAAAATTAGTAAAAGTCCTCAAATTGCAAAGATACAGGCCATCAAAGTTAGGAAATTTTAACAATATCACGTAAAATCATTAGGCAATTTTTGAGTTGGATCAGTACACGAGAACAATGCTATACAGGCTGTTCCTAAAGTTTGTTTGCTCAGAACTTTTTTATTCCATCATAACCCTATATTTATTTTTGCAGTTTCTAATAGTAAATTTAGTTTAGAAACTTTTATCACTCTTAAAGAATATTGATAAAAACCACCGTTTTCGTATTAAATGCAAAAATTCTACTGTAAATAGTGTTTAAGATATTTGGAAAAATGTGTTAAAATTTCCTAAGTTTGATGGTCTGTATCTTTGAAATTTGAAGACTTTTACTAATTCTTTTTTACATGAATCGTCGTCATTTTCACTCTAGTGTATGTGGTTAAATTTGTTCCCCGAGTCACCGAAACACCCTGTATGTATATATATTTATAATTTCCTCGGTATAAACTTCATTTTCAACCCATGGGTTGTCCTGATAATTATATCGGTTTGAAGTGTGATGGTATCCGGTGTATCAACCGGTTCTAATTGAAAATGTCTCATTACAGAAGCAACTGCGGTTTTTAATTCCAACATTGCAAATTTTTGGCCTAAAATAATTTAATTATTTTATTTTTTGTATTTTAGAACAAGACAAATTCGAACCTATGCAGTTCCTGGGTCCGGCACTGAATGGTATATAAGCAAACGGATGTCTTCCTTTAGAATTTTCGGGTAAAAACCGATCTGGATCGAATTTTTCCGGATCCGGATAAATTTCCGGATTCCTATGGATGTCATAAATCCTCACCATCACAATCACATCTTTTGGAATTTTACATCCCGTACTGGTCACCATATCCTCGCTTGTACAACGTCCAATCATAGGAACGCTCGGATACAATCGCAAAGATTCTTTTATAACTCGTTCCAAGTATTTCATTTGGCTTAAATCGTTCATGGTTATATCCCGATCGGAATCATCGCCGAAAATATCGTAAAGCTCTTCAAATATTTTTTGCTGAACGTCTTTATTGTTGGCGAGAAGCATGAATGTAAATGAAATGCTGGTTGCTGTTGTGTCGTGGCCCTTAAATGAAAAAAGATAGATTTTTGTGTATATCATTTTTGTGTATACCTCAAACATAAAGGTGTCAACTTCTTCTTGAATTCCTTTATCATTGATAGCAGATCCGGACCGTTTTGCCGATAAAAGTAAATCAAGCATAGCCATTTTTTTCTTAGTATTCAATTGAAAACCATCCTTCGTGGTGGTAATATCAGATGGATTAAATGTTGTTTCTCGGTCTTTGATTACTTTCATGGTAAATTTGTGAAGATAATTCGTGGTAATCCAAGATTCCCAAAATTGTCGTGAAAATATATAAATTAAAGGTGAATAGTACCACGGTCTAACTATTCTATGCACTGTTAATTCACCCATTCTAAAAAGAAAAATTACTAATTTAAGTAATTACTTGGATATAAATCTTACTTATAAACCGAATCTCGATAAGTATCGCCGGATTTAGCCAAAGTTGTTCCCATAGCTGTTTCACAAATCGTTTGTAACGTGAATTGTGTCACGATCGGGACCACATCTATTACTTTATTCGCGTTTAATGTCAAATCTTGAACCAATTTTTTACCTTCGTCGATAAAGACGTCTGTGAATTCTTGTAAAATGTTAAAATGGAATGTCGGTGTTAAAACTTTACGTCTATATTGCCATTTAGGACCTTGAATAGAAAAAGTTTTCAATATTAAGAGATCTGGGAGGATATCGAAATGAAGTTAATATTTGAGCCCGATTTTATAACACGAGCGGGCGCGTGTCATAAATTTTATGACATCAGGTCCGGATTAATATGTATTATGTTATTTTTAAGTTGGTATTAATATTTAAAAATTACATTTGTATCTTCATTGTTGCTAACTTCGGGTTGAATGATTTTTATTCTAACTTTTTGTTTTGTTTCGACTTGTTTTAAAGGTTTTTTTAATAAAGAATACATCATGAAATAACACCATGAAGTTGTCCATTTGTCTATTATATGATAACTAACTTCAGGTTTAAAATGTCAACCTCAATTTTAACGTATTTGTAATCTTCATTAAAAATCCTTTAAAATGAGTACAAACACGACATATTTATCTCCAATATTAATGAAGTTATGGTCAACTTCCGGTTAAGAATGTCAACGTCAATTTTGACATATTTGTAATCGTCGTGAAAAATCCTTTAAAATGAGTCCAAACACGATACGTTTAATTCCAATATTACTCGAGATATAAGCAACTTCCGGTTTGAAATGTCAATGTCATTTTGACATATTCTTAATTTTTATAAAATGTCTTAATATTTGTCACAAAAACAAAAAAGTAATAAAAAAAATAAAAAATTAAGGTTGGTATTAATATTTAAAAATTAAATTGCTATCTTCATTGTTGCTAACTTCGGTTTTAATGTTTTTTATTCTAACTTTTTTGTTTTTTGAGATAAGTGCGTCTTGTTTGGACTCATTTTAAAGGTTTTTTTATGAAGATGACAAATATGTCAAAATTGCCGTTGACGTTTCAAACCGGAAGTTATTGTATCTCCATTAATAACAAAGTTAAATATGTCGAGTTTGGACTCATTTTAAAGGATATTTTATAAAGATGACAAATATGTCAAAATTAATAGTTGAAAGATCGAACTTTTTGGTTTTTTGAGATAAATGCGTCAAGTTTGGACTCATTTTAAAGGTTATTTTATGAAGATTACGAATATAATAATAAAATTAAAGTTGACATTTACGGACCTGCATTTTTCAAAAATGTGTAAACTTAAAGTAAAATTTTTTATGAATACTTTATCGTTAAATCCTTTCAAATGCATAATATAAGGAGATATATTATAAAAACGAAAATTGTCATAAATTTTATGACAGCGCGCCCGTTCGAAGGTTAACATGTGCCACAGAAATAAAGGAATGTTCGGAACAATTGGATGATATATATATTGGTAATAATTCTTTACCTGTACTCAATAATAACCCTTCTTGTAACCAATTCTCCAAAGGTTTATACATTAAATTTTTATCAATATGTTTCATTCCAGATAATATCGTCTAAAATAACACTTAATAGTAATTAGAAAATATATTAAAATATTTACCTCTGCATCAATTGGCGAAGAGATAAAAACAGCGTCTTTAATTCCAGTGCAAAGTCGATAAGTTGGATAAAACTTTTTGCTGTATTCCGTTAATTTATTAAATAATTTATCTAAAAACCCAATCAGTTTAAATCAAAAATTCGCAAATTTAAAACGAAATTCTCACCTGGAGATACCAAAACGCTAAATAAATGTCCTATAAAAGGATATTCTTTTGGCCCGGGAATTTTAGACATAGCAATTCGATATTTTATATAACAAAAAAGTTTGTACGTCAAAAGCAAGGAAAGAGTGGTCGTGACGATCATCACTACCGATGTTGGTAGAGATTTAAAATCGATTTGAACGAATTTTTGCATCTTGAAAAGACCACTTTGAAAGGCAAACACAAATTGATGAAATTTTTCAATTGACTGAACTAAATTCGGTTTTAAACGGTTTATTTATACTTTTATTTTATTGGAGGGGAAAGTTTCTTTCTTCTCATGATTAATCTCAAACGAATAACAAAAACTTAAGAACTGCTTATATTCAAGAATATCTTGACGTGATTGAACTAAATTTATCGAAAGATAACCTTTTAAAAAAGGATTTTTCTAATGAATCACGATTAAGTAATTAATATTACTTAATCATCATTTTCAAAACATCCAAAGTAAATATTTGGATAGTTTATATTTTATGCATATTACAGAGAAAATACTAATTATTAACTTCTAAGGTCAAATTCTATATTTGGTTTAAACTTTATACGAGATAAAGATTACTAAGAATTTATTGAACTCGATATTTTTTTTGTATTAATTTATTTCATGAAGACAAGTTTGCGTCATTTAATAATTTTAATCTTTTTATTTTTTTAAAACTAATCGGATCTTTTTTTTGTAGGTTTTTGATAATTTTATCATAACCTATATTAGTCATAAAATATTGTTTTGAAAGAACGATGATTCATTTTTTTAATTAATAAAATTAAAATAAGTTGTTATCTTAGCCGATTTATTTAAATAAGCAATTAAAAACACCTACAGTATGCAAAATCCGGGTTACTCAAGAATGGTAGTACAAATTTGAAATATTTTGGATGAAAGCAAAAGTGGATGTCTTGGTTACCTATGCAGTTCGACAATTGTAGGCGAAAGAGCATAAAGCCACAGCAAACATACCAGATCTTTACAACCAAGTGTTGGGGTGGTTACATGAATGGAACATAAAAGAGATGAAGCCAAATACTTCCGAACAATGACCTACAAAAATGAAGGGATCCACACCAACATTGCAATGAAGATTTAGAAGGCCATTTGCAGACTGGTATTAGACTATGGACATGTTCTGACAATCAACTCGACAAATTATATTAAAGATATAATACTGACCAAGGATATTACTGAAAAAGCAGAAAGGAGATGCATAAGAATAATAAGCAAAATCCGACACCCTAAAAATCCTCTGCACATTATAAGCAATGAAGACCAGGACGCTAGAACAAATATAAAACCAATACGACAAAGACACGAAGAATAGAATAAGAAATTTATTAAAATTTCAGTTATTATGTTTTTGAATTTACAATTTTCCACATTTTAAAACACATATAAAAAAATATTGCAGTCTGAAGACGCACGGCTAAACCCGAAACTTTCTAGTTCTAGGTTTAGTGTTAGTTTTAGTTTTATTTCAATACAAGTATACAACAACCTAACACTGTATAACATCTAAACCTAGAGCTAACACTAGCACTCGAACTAACACAAGACACAACTTACGTAACACAACGTATCATGCACCATTTTGAAGCAGATAGTTTAAACTTTAATTTGAATTAGTAGACGATTCTTTTAAGATAACACAAGACAATTAATCTTCATTTAGACGAAAATTAAAATTTGACATTTAAATGTTATTTTTGACGTTCCGCTCACCCCCATCTAGCGTCAATTTTTAAATTATTTTTTATTATTTTTCTAAAAAACGTTGATTCAATAAATTATATTGTTTGAAAATAAGAGGAAAGAAAATTAATCTTTATTTAGGAGAAAATTTAAAATTTTTACATTTAATTTTTATTTTAATCGTAAAAAACCCTTTTTTACACTCGCGCCATCTAGCGTAAATCACCGACGTTAAATCGTATTTGACATTTTAAAACCACCGATTTATTTCTTGCTAATATTATCGAGTTTTATTAAAAAAATAAGTCCAAATGAAGTGAAAAAAATATCAAAATACGTTTTTGGACTCCCAAAGTATATGTTTAAAGTGAGTGTGGATTCCAGTAAGCGATTTTTCCCCTTAAATTAGGGAATGTAGTTTGATTAGAAAACATAACCTAACTTTCTTAATTGAAAATTAAAAAAAAATCGATTTGATCTATTAAACGGAAGAAATGGTAAGTAATTCATTCAATATCATTAATTAACTCCATTATTAATTAGTTCAATAAAAATATACAACATAGTAACATCTTATGCTAACTAGCGCTTCCTACCACTGCCACTAGAACTAACACTAAACCGAGAACTAGAAACATTCGGATTTAGCAGCACGTCTCGCAAGACTGCTAAACTCGAATGATTCTAGTTCTAAGTCTTGTGTTAGTTCTAGTGATAGTGCAAGTGCAAAACTAGAACTAACACTAGACCTAGAACTAGAAAGTCATAGGTCAATGTTTCTAGTTCTAGGTCTAGTGTTAGTTCTAGTTTTATTCCAATACAAGTATACAACAATCTAACACTCTATAACATCTAAAACTAGAGCTAACACTAGCATTCGAACTAACACAAGACACACAATTTATCATGCACCATGTTAAAGCAGATAGTTTAAGCTTTAATTTTAATTAGTCAACGATTCTTTTAAGATAACACAAGACAATTAATCTTCATGTAGACGAAAATTAAAATTTGACATTTAAATGTTATTTTTGATGTTCCGCTCACCCCCATCTTGCGTCAATTTTTTAAATTATTTTTTATTATTTTTCTAAAAAACGTTGATTCAATAAATTATATTGTTTGAAAATAAGAGGAAAGAAAATTAATCTTTATTTAGNTTATTTTTGACGTTTCGCTCACCCCATCTAGCGTCAAATTTTGAATTTATTTTTTATTCTTCTAAAAAACTTTGATTCAATAAATTATATTGTTTGAAAAATAAGAGGAAAGAAGATTAACCTTTGTTTAGGAGAAAATTTCAAATTTTTACATTTAATTTTTATTTAAATCGTATAAAACCCTTTTTTACACTGGCGCCATCTAGCGTAAATCACCTACGTTAAGTCATATTTGACATTTTAAAACCACCGATTTATTTCTTGCTAATACTATCGAGTTTTATTAAAAAAATAAGTCCAAATGAAGCGAAAAAAACATCAAAATACGTTTTTGGACTCCCAAAGTATATGTTTAAAGTGAGTGTGGATTCCAATAAGCGATTTTTTCCCTTAAATTAGGGAATGTAGTTTGATTAGAAAACATAACCTAACTTTCTTAATTGAAAATTATTGAAGATTTAACAAAATCGATTTGATCTATTAAACGGAAAAAATGGTAAGTAATTAATTTAAAATCATTAATTAAATCCATTATTAATTTGTTCAATAAAAATATACAACATGGTAATATCTTACCACTACCACTAGAATTAACACTAAACCGAGAACTAGAAATATTCGGATTTAGCAGCACGTCTCGCAAGACTGCTAAACCCGAATGATTCTAGTTTTAAGTCTTATGTTAGCTCTAGTGATAATACAAATGCAAAACCAGAACTAACACAAGATACACAACTTACGTAACACACAACTTATCATCCACCATTTTGAAGCAGATTAAGGTTTAATTTGAATTAGTAGACGATTCGTTTAAGATAACACAAGACGATTAATCTTCATTTAGACGAAAATTAAAATTTGACACTTAAATGTTATTTTTGACGTTTCGCTCACCCCATCTAGCGTCAAATTTTGAATTTATTTTTTATTCTTCTAAAAAACTTTGATTCAATAAATTATATTGTTTGAAAAATAAGAGGAAAGAAGATTAACCTTTGTTTAGGAGAAAATTTCAAATTTTTACATTTAATTTTTATTTAAATCGTATAAAACCCTTTTTTACACTGGCGCCATCTAGCGTAAATCACCTACGTTAAGTCATATTTGACATTTTAAAACCACCGATTTATTTCTTGCTAATACTATCGAGTTTTATTAAAAAAATAAGTCCAAATGAAGCGAAAAAAACATCAAAATACGTTTTTGGACTCCCAAAGTATATGTTTAAAGTGAGTGTGGATTCCAATAAGCGATTTTTTCCCTTAAATTAGGGAATGTAGTTTGATAGAAAACATAACCTAACTTTCTTAATTGAAAATGATTGGAGATTAAAAAAATCGATTTGATCTATTAAACGGAAAAAATGGTAAGTAATTAATTTAAAATCATTAATTAACTCCATTATTAATTTGTTCAATAAAAATATACAACATGGTAATATCTTATGCTAACTAGCGCTACTTACCACTGCCGCTGGAATTAACACTAAACCGAGAACTAGAAATATTCGGATTTAGCAGCACGTCTCGCAAGACTGCTAAACCCGAATGATTCTAGTTTTAAGTCTTATGTTAGCTCTAGTGATAGTACAAGTGCAAAACCAGAACTAACACAAGACACACAACTTACGTAACACATAACTTATCATCCACAATTTTGAAGCAGATTAAGGTTTAATTTGAATTAGTAGACGATTCTTTTAAGATAACGCAAGACAATTAATCTTCATTTAGACGAAAATTAAAATTTGACATTTAAATGTTATTTTTGACGTTTCGCTCACCCCATCTAGCGTCAATTTTTTAATTTATTTTTTATTATTCTTCTAAAAAACTTTGATTCACTAAATAATATTGTTTGATAATAAGAGGACAGAATATTAATCTATGTTTAGGAGAAAATTTCAAATTTTTACATTTAATTTTTATTTAAATCGTAAAAAAACCCTTTTTACACTCGCGCCATCTAGCGTAAATCACCTACGTTAAGTCATATTTGACATTTTAAAACCACCGATTTATTTCTTGGTAATATTATCGAGTTTTATCAAAAAAATAAGTCCAAATGAAGCGAAAAAAACATCAAAATACGTTTTTGGACTTCCAAAGTATATGTTTAAAGTGAGTGTAGATTCCAGTAAGCGATTTTTTCCCTTAAATTAGGGAATGTAGTTTGATTAGAAAACATAACCTAACTTTCTTAATTGAAAATTATTGAAGATTTAAAAAAATCGATTTGATCTATTAAACGGAAAAAATGGTAAGTAATTAATTTAAAATCATTAATTAAATCCATTATTAATTTGTTCAATAAAAATATACAACATGGTAATATCTTACCACTACCACTAGAATTAACACTAAACCGAGAACTAGAAATATTCGGATTTAGCAGCACGTCTCGCAAGACTGCTAAACCCGAATGATTCTAGTTTTAAGTCTTATGTTAGCTCTAGTGATAATACAAATGCAAAACCAGAACTAACACAAGATACACAACTTACGTAACACACAACTTATCATCCACCATTTTGAAGCAGATTAAGGTTTAATTTGAATTAGTAGACGATTCGTTTAAGATAACACAAGACGATTAATCTTCATTTAGACGAAAATTAAAATTTGACACTTAAATGTTATTTTTGACGTTTCGCTCACCCCATCTAGCGTCAAATTTTGAATTTATTTTTTATTCTTCTAAAAAACTTTGATTCAATAAATTATATTGTTTGAAAAATAAGAGGAAAGAAGATTAACCTTTGTTTAGGAGAAAATTTCAAATTTTTACATTTAATTTTTATTTAAATCGTATAAAACCCTTTTTTACACTGGCGCCATCTAGCGTAAATCACCTACGTTAAGTCATATTTGACATTTTAAAACCACCGATTTATTTCTTGCTAATACTATCGAGTTTTATTAAAAAAATAAGTCCAAATGAAGCGAAAAAAACATCAAAATACGTTTTTGGACTCCCAAAGTATATGTTTAAAGTGAGTGTGGATTCCAATAAGCGATTTTTTCCCTTAAATTAGGGAATGTAGTTTGATAGAAAACATAACCTAACTTTCTTAATTGAAAATGATTGGAGATTAAAAAAATCGATTTGATCTATTAAACGGAAAAAATGGTAAGTAATTAATTTAAAATCATTAATTAACTCCATTATTAATTTGTTCAATAAAAATATACAACATGGTAATATCTTATGCTAACTAGCGCTACTTACCACTGCCGCTGGAATTAACACTAAACCGAGAATTAGAAACATTCGGATTTAGCAGCACGTCTCGCAAGACTGCTAAACCCGAATGATTCTAGTTTTAAGTCTTATGTTAGCTCTAGTGATAGTACAAGTGCAAAACCAGAACTAACACAAGACACACAACTTACGTAACACATAACTTATCATCCACAATTTTGAAGCAGATTAAGGTTTAATTTGAATTAGTAGACGATTCTTTTAAGATAACGCAAGACAATTAATCTTCATTTAGACGAAAATTAAAATTTGACATTTAAATGTTATTTTTGACGTTTCGCTCACCCCATCTAGCGTCAATTTTTTAATTTATTTTTTATTATTCTTCTAAAAAACTTTGATTCACTAAATAATATTGTTTGATAATAAGAGGACAGAATATTAATCTATGTTTAGGAGAAAATTTCAAATTTTTACATTTAATTTTTATTTAAATCGTAAAAAAACCCTTTTTACACTCGCGCCATCTAGCGTAAATCACCTACGTTAAGTCATATTTGACATTTTAAAACCACCGATTTATTTCTTGGTAATATTATCGAGTTTTATCAAAAAAATAAGTCCAAATGAAGCGAAAAAAACATCAAAATACGTTTTTGGACTTCCAAAGTATATGTTTAAAGTGAGTGTAGATTCCAGTAAGCGATTTTTTCCCTTAAATTAGGGAATGTAGTTTGATTAGAAAACATAACCTAACTTTCTTAATTGAAAATTATTGAAGATTTAAAAAAAATCGATTTGATCTATTAAACGGAAAAAATGGTAAGTAATTAATTTAAAATCATTAATTAACCCCATTATTAATTTGTTCAATAAAAATATACAACATGGTAATATCTTAAAACTGCCACTAGAATTAACACTAAACCGAGAACTAGAAACATTCGGATTTAGCAGCACGTCTCGCAAGACTTCTAAACCCGAATGATTCTAGTTTTAAGTCTTATGTTAGCTCTAGTGATAGTACAAATGCAAAACCAGAACTAACAGAAGATACACAACTTACGTAACACACAACTTATCATCCACTATTTTGAAGCAAATAGTTTAAGCTTTAATTTGAATTAGTAGACGATTCTATTAAGATAACACAAGACAATTAATCTTCATTTAGACGAAAATTTAAATTTGTCATTTAAATGTTATTTTTGACGTTTCGCTCACCCCCATCTAGCGTCAATTTTTTAATTTATTTTTTATTATTCTTCTAAAAAACTTTGATTCAATAAATTATATTGTTTGAAAAATAAGAGGAAAGAATATTAATCTTTGTTTAGGAGAAAATTTCAAATTTTTACATTTAATTTTTATTTAAATCGTAAAAAACCCCTTTTTACACTCGCGCCATCTAGCGTAAATCACCTACGTTAAGTCATATTTGACATTTTAAAACCACCGATTTATTTCTTGCTAATATTATCGAGTTTTATCAAATGAAGCGAAAAAAAACTCAAAATACGTTTTTCGACTCTAAAAGTATGAGTTTAAAGGAATAATAAAAAAAATTTTTAGGCAATGCTCTATTTATTTGTATCTTCTTATTAAAACTTCACATAAAGAAATCAACAAGGAATCTCTTTCAAAGCGATTCCCTTCTTATAATAATAGTCAAAATAGAAAATCTTCATATAAAATAAAAAACTATTAACACATCAATGCTAATGATCTCTTAATAATCTTCAATAATATTGCATCTGGTAACGATATCTTCTCATCACTTCCTACTTTGGCAACATTTCTTAAATTAAAATCGCAGTATAAAACTTCTTTAATTTCCCTATTTTTAAAACATTTTTTCTCATTTATATTCGTTTCTTTTTAATCAACTGTTGTATTGATATGTTACAACCAACATGCATTTTTTAAACATTTAATTTTACTACCTGCAGGTACACGTTTTGCGAAACAAATTTAATTTCTATTGTTAGCTCTGCGTGAACGACAAGGATTAACAAAAAAGTATTTTAATTTATTTTTCTTAATTTGAATACAAAAATATTGTCGGTTGTACACTTTGATTTTTATTTCCGTATCTTTTTAAAGGTAATTTTTCGTTAGAAAAATAGTCGGGGTTTCAGACTTATTTTTTTTTTGTAGTAAGATTTTAAATGAAACGAAAAGATGGAATGACACGTTGTTTTTTTTTTAAGTGATTAGGACCTACACTTTCATTCGGTTAATTAATTAATTAATTAATTAACCTTGATTTAATTTTTTTTTATTTTAATTTTAAGTTGTTTCGTTAGGGTCTACTCATACATTGATGCAGTTGGGGCAACTTCAAGTAACATTTGTAAGAAAACTGTTACTCCATCTAAATTAAAAAAAAAAATAATTAGATTTTTCTTCTTTGGCAAAAAATTTAGGACTTACCCATAAATGGTACTCGCAACTTGTAATGCACGAATGGAAGGTAAAAAACCATTCCACCGAGAATAAAAAGGGCCGCATAAAGATATTCAATGGTTGGCTTATCAATTATTGGTCCAACAACCAAATAGATCGAAACTAGTAACACCAGGATAGGAATGATGACTGGAACCTAACAGAAAATTGATTAAAAAGTAATTTCTTTTTTAAATTCATACTTTGTATGGTCTCGGATGATTTGGTTTTGTGAATCGCATTACAATTAACGCCAACATAGCACCACCATAAAAAATCCAAGCGGTAAAACTAAAAAAGTCAATCAACGAATCTATCGTTCCATATAAAACCATCGCTCCTGCTATTAAAGACTAAAAATCATAAAAAGAAAATATCAATTTTATTTTCAACGATTTTATTTGAAATTATTACATGAAAGATTAATCCTGGCGCGGGAGTATATCTTTTGATGTGAACATACGATAAGATGTCGAGTAGATGTCCTTCTCTGCTGGCAGCGAAACAAAGTCTCCCAGCTGCGAATAAGGTCCCATTGGCCGCTCCAAACGTTGATATGGTGACAGAAAGGGGCATCAGCCAAGCCATAGCGCCTAACAAACGATTTCCAAAGGTAACGGCGACCGCTTCCGAAGTCATCATTTCCAGTGGTGACATTACTGTTAAGTACGATACATTAATGAGCGCATAACATATCGTTACTAATGGAATCCCGATTACTATGCTACGTGGCAGATTCCTGTAAACCAGAAACAGAAAATAGGGCATCATAACTGTATCGATTTTTTCAGACCGTATTCACTGTTGTATGATGGTCGAGACCTAAAAAAAATTTTTTCAACAACAGAAAAATTGGGATGGAAAGTAAGGGTTTAAAGGGATAAATTAAAGAGATTGAGAATTATGAGATTTTATATGATCCTTTATCCAATCGTATTGACTTACTTGGAGGGATGTTTAATTTCTTCCGTGACATAATTGAGGTTATTCCATCCATCGTAAGCCCATAATCCAGTGTAAAACGCTGTGGCGATGTTCCCGATGGAATAAACCGTACCCTTGAAGGGATTTTTTAAATGTTGTACGTTACCTAAAAAATAAAACTCATTTTTTATATCAAAAATTAATGTTTAAGTGATGTGCAGTGTGTTAATTAATTATCGTACCCAAGTATGCAACCAACATCACAGTACGCGTATTGCAATACCAATACTGTGATGTTGGTTGCATACTTGCAATGATGACGTAATTAATTAACACAGTGTATTACGTTACATTTATAAAAAAAAATTTTTGGACTTGTCATTAAAAAACACCAGAGAAACATTACAAACTTTGATGATGACTGTTATTTTTTCTACTATGATTTTAATGGCTAACTTTTTTCTGCAATGCGAGTTGTAGCTTTACTCAACATTGGTTTCAACAGAGTTTCGACATTTGTCAGAGGGAAAATTAAAAGAAGGATATTTTGTGGGTCCTGACATACGTATTTCACATGTTTGATGAAAACTTTCAGTACACAATGTCAGGTGTTGAAGGAGAAGCTTGGAATGCTTTCAAAAAGGTGATCACTAGATTATTAGGAAATGAAAAAGACCCTAACTATATCAGCATTGTTGATGATCTTCTGAAAAGAATGGAAAAACTTGGCTGCATTTTTATTTTGATTTTTTTCTGAAAACTTGGGTAATTTGTTTATAACGACAAAGAATTGATTTTGATATCAAATTAAAGCTTGAAATCTCCTCTTTAAAATGATATTATTTAATATATGAGTTAATTATAAAAATTTCCGAGAAAAATAACTTTAATGGTTACCCACAAAAAGGGGTTAGATTTGATGACGTTTATAAATTTGAAAAAATCATATCTAATTTGTTTATAATAACTAAGGATTGATTTTGATAACAAATTAAAGCTTAAAATCTCCTGTTTAAAGTGATATAATTTAATGTATGAGTTAATTAGAAAAATTTCTGAGAAAAACAATTTTAATGATTACTCATAAAAAGAGGTTAGATTTAACGTTTATAAATTTGAAAAAATCATATCTAATTTATTTATAATAACTAAGAAATGATTTTGATATCAAATAAAAGCTTGAAATCTCCTCTTTAAAATGATATAATTTAATGTATGAGTTGATTATAAAAATTACCGAGAAAAACAGCTTTAATGATAACCCACATAAAGGGGTTAGATTTGAAGACGTTTATAAATTTGAAAAAATCATATCTAATTTATTTATATCAACTAAGAATTGATTTTGATATCAAATTAAAGCTTGAAATATCCTCTTTAGAATGATATTATTTAATATATGAGATTATTAGAAAAATTTCCGAGAAAAATAATTTTAATGATTACCCACAAAATGAGGTTAAATTTGACGACGTTTATAAATTTGAAAAAATCATATCTAATTTATTTATTACAACTAAGAAATGATTTTGGTATCAAATTAAAGCTTGAAATCTTCTCTTTAAAATGGGCTGCCTGATGAGCATAAAACTTTCTACATTCTTATTTGGATTATTTCCCTGAAGGCTTGGGTAGTACCAGTGAAGAGCTGGTTGACTGTTTCCATCAGGATGTTAAGGTCATGGAGAGGAGATATCAGGGTAAATGGGACGTCAGACTACTGCTGGTCACTTCATCTATGGAAACGAAGTGTTACTCACAAGAGGAAAAGTAGCAGTCATATTCATACCAGTTAGTTTAGTTAAATTAATTTTTACAGTGTTTTTTTACAATGTGCTACGAAAATCGTGATAATGAGGGCCTTGTTGATAGATTTCTCCCTTACAATTGTTAGTTCTGTAAGTATTGCGTATACCTCAGCAGAAAATATTGTTAATTCGTCAGGTAGATGATAGTACTCCTCTATCTCCAGGATAGGGGCATATATTCCACTTTTGTTAGGAGTATGCACCAGTGATCCATCTGTGTATATGTATTGGAAATCCGGCCATTTTTCCGCGATGTATTCTATCTCTCTTCCTATTATTTTACCAACCTCAGCGCCCGTTCCAAGACTTTTGTATAAAAGCGGTGTAAAAACTATTGACAGTGTGAATTTCCTGATATTATATTCCATGTCATGGATGCTGTTTGTCTCCTTTCTATACATGTATGGGATGGTAGGTTTCTGTTTATTGTACAGGGTAGGCAAATTTGGGTGTTATTATAGGCTATCTCAGAAACTATAAGAGATACGAAAAAAGTAGGTGCCATGTCCTGGTCTCTTTTTTCAAGACTAATTCAATCCCGCAAACATCAAACCTCTATCTTCTTTTGTTTTTAAGTTTTCGCCAAAAAGTCAAATTTTCGTGATTTCAAAAAATGCTCATATTTCGTTTATTTTTCAAATTAGAGGAATGGGGTTGATACGTTCTTAAGACACTTTTTTAAGTGGAATATACTGCCGTTGAAAAGTTTTACATATACTTGATGATTTTTGAGATACAACACAAAGTTGTGTTTTTTTAAACACAAACTATACTTGATTATGATGTTAAAGAAAAGAGCATATTTTTAGCTTTCCAATGATGTATCGTATATATGGTGTATTTGCAGAAAATAAGCGTTAATTTTCAATTCGAAAATAGTAAGCGCTAATGTTCAAAATTTTGATTATAGTAGGCGGGTCCGGACAGTAAATACTACCTAGTGGCTATAATATATGGTTTTGCACGAATATGACAGAATAAAGTTGGTTTTGTACCATTATTCAGGATAAGTTGGTTTTGTACCAACGAATAAAAACTTTGAATAGTTAATTTAAATTTCTCAGCATCTTATC